CATGGTAGACAAGCTGCTTCATATGTCCCCATAAATAAAGGTCCAAAGGATGTAGATCTGGGGAACGTGGTGGTCATGCTATTGCTGACCTATCTTTTTAATCGGGAAATGATCATTTAACCAAACAATTACTTATCTCTCTCTATGGGATGGTGTACCATCGTGCTGATACCACATATTTTGAACATTAAGCCTGATATCAACGAAATCAAATAGATTGTTTTCTAAAAATGTTCTATACAGATCTGCATTTAAACTGTCATTTAAAACATGTACAGGCGGTAAATTATTGTTCAATTGTAAATAAATGCATATTTTATTTATCACTTTAACGCTAAGTAAATAAATAAACAAAATAACACAAATAATAACTATAGATATAGCATCAATCATTTTTATTTATCAGACTACTTTGATTGAAATATGGAATTATATTTTTTAAAATGCTTGTAACTTCTTAACAAAAATGAATCGGACCTATGTTCATATAAGAAAAAAATGTTTGAAAATCAACCCAGCTATACCTACCATCTGCCAAAGTTTATCATAGTGCTTGTAGAACACCCTGTATATTACAGCTTAATTTACATTATAATGTTGAGCGATATTTTCCAAAATTATATGATATACTTAACACTTAACATATAACTCTGTTCGCAACTAACTTAAATATATTTTTTACATCCTTCCTTATGTTCTACTTAAGGACTAGTTGTCCCCGTAACTTTTTTATTTATTAACCGATTGTAACGAAGTTTTGTTAGATGTTGTAGGGGCACTACTAGAGAAATATTATTAGGGTCTTATTTAGGAGAATTCATTCTTCCCTAGGGAGACTCGAAACAAAAATATATTATTTTCTGAAGAGTGATCACAGTTTCTGAATGTTTTCGGAATAATTACACAGCCACACAAAAAAAACGACTTTCGGACCCCAGACTATGTTTATCATACGTTTTTTGAGTCGCTGAATCTGTATCCAAGGACCATTTAACCCCGTCATCTTAGGATTTTTCATAACCTCAAAGAAACCAATATTCTGAACAATTAAACCATATAATTTTAAGACTCAAGCTTGCAACGCTAAATTCAGTTAACTAAATCCCATAAACATTTAACCCAATGATATTCCAACTTAATAAGCCTATGAACCCAAACCCCAGTAACCCTATAACCCCATAACCCCATAACCAAGGGAATAAATCATAGGCAATCTGTATTATTGCAAAACATCACATAGCTGGGGACTCCTTGAAAACCCTAGTATTCAAACCCAAAATGTATCCTATATATTGATCTAGTCATTTCACATGTCCGATCTTTTGATCCAGTCATTCTAGTAATATAATTTTTTGGGTTATCTATTGTTATCCTTTGGATTTTTATTTCATTTAATATAGTCAAGAGATATTCTTAACATTAATCATTCATTTACTTAGTTTAGTTTTATTGATTCATTTATGGTACGGTCTATCCTACAAATTATTTTTTTTTTCAAAAGCTCTTATGAGAGCTATACGAAATCCGATCACGCAACCACCTTGTGTTGTACATCGGGTAATACTAATGCTGACGGTCCTACACTTTAAAGTTATAAACAAAACTAGATCGACTGTAACACTCGGTTATTTGGTGAATGGGATCAAAGTACAAGGTAATGAAGTAATGGTGGAGTTCTGAATTGTAGGGTCATGGGGATTTTGGGGTTTGAGTGCATAGGTTTGTAAGATATCCTCAACCACGTTAACTATTAGCCATAATACAGATTGCCTATGATTTATTAGCTATGGGGTTATGGGGTTATGAAGTTAGGGGGTTATGGGGTTATAGGGTTATGGAAATTTTTTGGGTTGGAATACTTGGGTTTTCAAGGAGTCCTCAGCTATGTGATATTTTGCAATATGATTGCGTATGATTTATTCCCTTGGTTATGGGGTTATGGGGTTACAGGGTTATTGGGGTTTGTGTTCATGGGCTTATTAGTTTGGGATACCATTGGGTTAAATGTTTATGGGATTTGATTTATTGGATTTTGCGTTGGAAGCTTGAGTCTTAAGGTTATATTGTTCAGAATATCTGTTTTTTTAGAGTCAGGGATGCACAGACTTATAGGGAACAGGGGCCACTCGGGAAAAATATAAGCCAAGGACGGGCCACTACAAACAATATTTATTAACACAAAATTTTTTATTTTTAAATAGTATGAAATACAATGATAAAAATAAAATAACCTTCAAAAATGTTTGTTGTAATAATTATGTAATCATTACAATGTAATATTTCATGTTTTATTATTTTGATGCATGACATTGCATTGAACTAACAAGTTTTTTTATATTTGGCTCCACATTACTTGTAGCCACACGTATAATTGCTTCCAAATTTTCATTTGCCAGACGGTTTCGGTTTTTCGTTTTGTTAAGTTTCATCACTGAAAACGTTTGTTCACAAATATACGTCGATCCAAATAAGCTTGCGCATTTCAATGCATTTATTCGCAACTCTTTATAAGCGTTTTTATCAACGCAACGGTAGAAGTTGAGTAAATTACCTTCATTAAATTTGTTTCTTAAATTATCATCATTTTGCATGTCTATTAATTCCAGCTGCATTAATTCCGGCGCATTTTCGGGTGAAATGTTGAAAGGATTGCTGAAAATGTCCAATAGCGGTTTAACTTTTTTGAAGTCTACAAAACGATTTTCAAAAGCTTGTATCAAAATATCAATTTTTTCAACATGAGCGAAATTGACGTCAGTTTTATTGAACTTCTCCATAATTTTTTTGTAGTTCGGAAAATGGCCGTAATTGGCTGAATTGATTTGTGTCCTGAAAAGACTCAATTTGCATTGAAAGGACGAAACATGAGAGTATAGCTGCGAAATCAATTGATCTTTGCCTTGGAGTCGCGTATTTAAGACATTCAAGTGATTTGTGATGTCTACAAGAAACGCTAAGTCACACAGCCAATCAGGGTTGTCGAGTTCGGGGACGTCGTTTTTCTTTTCCGCCAGAAATAGTTGGATTTCTTCAATCAAGTTAAGAAATCGCTGTAGTGTCAACCCACGACTTAGCCACCTTACTTCAGTGTAAAACAGGAGATCACCATATTCGCTTTCAATATCCTCGAGAAATTGTTTGAATTGTCGGTGATTGAGACCTCGTGATTTTATAAAGTTTACGGTAGGTACTACAACTTTCATAACATTTTCAAATCCCAATAATTTTGAACAGAGGGCCTCTTGATGTATAATACAATGAAACTGCATTAATTCCTTGGTATTTATGTTTTTAGTTTGTAAATATGTTTTTAACAGAGTTACTATCCCAGATGTACTTCCAACCATTGAAGGTGCTCCGTCAGTTGTAATTCCAGATATTTTCGTTAAATCCAAATCCATTATAGAACATTTTTCTAGAAGAGCTTTGAGCATGTCACTTCCCCTGGTTTGACTTGTCAAAGAACTCATACCAATCAGTTCTTCACTCACTTCAAAATTTTGCGTTACACCTCGTAAAAATATTAATAGTTGAGCAGTTGAACTTATATCTGTAGATTCGTCGAGCGCTATAGAAAAATACTCAAAACTTCTCGATTTCGTAGCTAATTGCTCTTCTATATTATCTGCTAATGCGGTAATTCTTCTTTGAACAGTCATCCGATTTAACTGAATTTTTTCAAACTTCTTTACATTTTCCGGACAAATTTTTTTTGCGGCGATATCCAAACATTGCTTAACAAACTCACCATCTTTAAAAGGCCGACAAGTTTTCGCTATTATTCGAGATATTTCAAAGCTAACTTCAGTGGCTGTTTCAGCATCTTGAATTGGTTTTGTAAACATAGATTGCTGGCCTATTAGTTCCCGTTGTAAAGTGGAAATTCTTTGCGTTCGATTTTCGCCAGTTAATTTGGTAAAAGTTGGATGCTGGGTTTCATAGTGCCTTTTCACATTATATTCCTTCGGAATAGAAACACTACTCTTGCATATTAAACAGACAATTTTGTTATGCGATGAAATAAAAAAGTATTTTTCGGTCCAAATATCATGAAACTGTCGATTTTCATCTTCAACCTTACGACTACGTTTCTTACTGGGGCCTGGTTTATCCATATCAAAATTAATATTATATGTTACAGTCGGTAAAAGCCAAGTTCGAACGACGAAATATTTACTCGTCACAGATTACAGTTCTCAAACAGTATAACGTTCGCTTATCCGTAGTCAAAACTTAACTGCCCCGGTAGCCGGCGATGCGTCGTATTTATACGAGTTACCAAACATCGAGAACCATCCACTTTGTTCGGGGATCGACGTGTTTCGCGAATCTGTAATCTAGTTGATGCGACAGATTTCTAGTCTCGTAATAATATGCTTGGACCGGAGCGCGGCGAGTAGAATACTTTTAAAAATTTTTTGGCGGGCCGCATAAACATCGATAGCGGGCCGCGGTATGTGCATTCCTGTTTAGAGGTTATGAAAAATCCTGAGGTGATGGAGTTAAATGGACCTCGGATTCGGATTCAGCGACCCGAAAAACGTCTAATAAACATAGTCTGACCTCTGGGCCCGAAGGTCGATTTTTGTGCGGCTGTGTTATATTTTTCCTAAAGTTCTTGAGAGTCATTTGAACAATACTTCCATCACCCTGTAATCTAAACAATATTTTGCCTCCAAAGAGTAAAGTTCAAATAATAATCAGAAACGTCAGAGAAACGATGCGTATGCTAAACATATTTAAAAGCTTCATTTGTGTTAAAAAAATCTGTTATAAAACTATAAAAATTCACTAAACATTTCTAAATAAATTCCTAATGGTAATTCTCTATAATCGCAGTTGGCCATGGTTTTGGGTGAGACGAATTTTCACAAGATCACCAACAAAAAAAATCCCTAAAATCGATCAAATAATAATGTTACGAGAATCTTAAGTGGAACACACTGTATATTCCTTAACAAATACAAGATGTTTTGTTTCATGTCTTAACAGTTAAGAAGATGAAGAAGTTTCAACTAAAAGAATATCTCCATTACAATCTGGTGGTAATGAAATATCTTGGGCTTTGGCCCAAAAAAGATTTCACCTCCGACAAGTCGTATTTGATCTACACAATCATTGTCAATGGATTTTTCAATTTTACAACGAGCGTAGGCCTCACAGGGTACATATTAACATCATCAAATCTTCTAGAAGATGTTATTGGTGCGGGATATATCATTCTCGCCATAATGGCCACTGCCAAAACATTTTTTATCATGAAATACAGTAAAATGTTCAAGCTATTGGTAGATGCAGAGATCCATAGAAGTGTGAACGTAGAACTCAACGAGGAACAGACCAAAATTCTATGCGACTACGTGGGCTTTTGGAAAAAAGTACATCTTATTTACAGTTATCTCTCTGTGCTTGTTTTTTTCAGCTACGTTGCGTTACCGATTTTCAGCAAAACGCCCTATACCTTACCCTTGAATTGTTGGTACCCTTTCGACTATGAGAGACCTGTAGTCTATGAAATCGTTTATTTTCATCAGAGTGTAAGTGCACTAATTGATATTTTTGTGAATCTAAATGGTGCCACATTGGCTGCCGGTTTCTTAGCATATTTATCTGCTGAATGCGATGTACTGGTTAACTTGTTAAAAAATTTAACCAACGGATCTGCGATGAACGAAATCAATTTAGATATGGAGATGCTCAAGATATGTGTTGAATACCATAAAAAAATCGTGGAGTAAGCATCTAATTTTGTTACTGTTATAATTATTAACGTTACAAGGCCGATAACAAGTAAATAACGGGCGAGGTTGAGTATGTAATCAGCCGAGGACGTTGTTTACATATCGGCCGTGTGTCGTTCAACGGTTTTCGTTACACCAGTTTCATTCATTTCATTTATCATTTCATTTAAAAAGCAATTTTGACAAATAATACAGACATGCTAGAGAAATAAAAACATCAAGTTACAAGCGGTTGCTAGGTAATAAGTGTGTTTCTATTGTAGAAAAATAAATCTTAACGGCCGGCGTCCGTTAAGGATTCTTAACGGACGTCGGCCGTTAAGGACCGGTTATCGTGTCTATTTCGGGGTATGTTAAATGAAAATAATCGTATGGTGTAACGAAAAATAATAATCGGTTTTATACAAACATGGAAATCACTCTAAATACTTTAATGTTTGTTTTTAGGTATTCCAAGCTCGTTGAATCGTACTTCAGTAAATACTTATTAATTCAGTTCACATCATCGTGTATGTCAACTGCTCTAATTATGACTAGTATGAGTATGGTAAGTATACTAGGTACATATTTTTTAATATTTTGGAAATTAAATTTTAATTAGAACTTGATTAGTAAATTAATTTTAATTCAATATTCGACTGAAAATCACGAAATAAATCATAATTATTATTGGGCTAAATAAATAAATGAAAGTCAGTAAAGAACTAACTAGAGAAAATTGTAGTAGGATCGTATTCGATGTAAAGTAGAGCAAAATGTTGTCGGTCTTTTGTCAAAGGAATCATAATTTTTAGGAGGCTTAAGATGAATCATTTAAAATTTAAAATTGAACTGAATGCAAAATCTGAAATACCGCTGCATACGCACTGTGTTCTGGTAGTAGCTGTAGTCGCCCAAGTGCATCGAGTGTACGAAGTGGTCGGTTATACGTCAAATACTAACCTGGCGAGTTTGGTCGTAAATAAGAGAGCGCCTCCAAAAAACAAGTAAACAACAGTGGCGCGTACAGAGGTAAAATGAAATGAATATATATAAATGAAATGAATATATATGGAACGATCCGCGTCAACCGTGCCACCCGCTAGTACAAACATTGAATCGGTCAAAAAAATCGCACGACGGCTTAAAAAATTCGTTGAGATGAGCGCTTTCGAAAGCCGTGTGGCGCTTTTAAAATTTCAAGATGGCGGTTGCAATATGGCGGCTACTATCCACGAATTTTGGCGACCTCCTGAAAGAAGTGCTACTGAAAAAGGAGCGATGATGACGAAAATTTAGCTATGCAACAAAAAATGTTTGTCTGGTAGAGAGTTACCAAATTCCATGCGTGTCCTCTGAATTTTCAAAATGGCGACTTCAAAATGGCGCCGATATCAACGAAATACCTAAATTTTTGGCTTAAACCTGTTGCAATCCACATTTAACGGTGTATGAGCTAGTGTTATTCAACACAAAACATTGATACGGAAGTGCTCTACCAAATGTTACGTGCTCCTTGCACAAATTTTAAAATGGCGACCTCAAAATGGCGCTTATATCAGTGAAATAGCTCGATTTTAGGTCAAGATATGCTAATAACGCCATTTAATTGCGGTTAAGCTCATGCTATCTAACTAGAAACGTTCGTAAGCAAGTTCACTACCTAATAGTATGTACGTCTTACAAGTTTTCAAAATTAGCTTCGCGCCAAATTTGGTATACGGGGTCGCTAATCACGGATCCGAGGTCAATTTTAATAATAACAGAATCGCAACAAATTTGGTATACGTATACGAGGGTTTTTGGGGTCGCTGATTACGTATACGAGGTCAGAATTGCGAAACTCATTTTGTAATATTTTACTTTATAACATGATGAGTACCCAATCATGTGTTAATCTGCTTTTTTCGGCTATATCTTGTTCTTTTTTCTGTAAAAAATCTATTCACGGGTTGAATTTTGTAAATCTGATCTCGGATTCGTGATCAGAATGTTATTTATTGAAAATTCGGTCGGCCGCCATCTTGAATTTTGCAAAATTGACCTCGGATCCGTAGTCAGCGACCCCGAAAACCCCCGTATACCAAATTTGCTGCGATTCTGTTATTTTTTGAAAATTTGGTTGGCCATCTTGGATTCGCCATCTTGAATTTTGCAAAATTGACCTCGGATCCGTGATCAGCGACCCAGAAAACCCCCGTATACCAAATTTGGCGCGAATCTAATTGTTTGAAAATTCGTGATATCTGACTTTAATTGACCCGTTTCAGCTTAAACGTGTTAATTCGCTGGTATAGGCGCCATTTTGAATGCGCCATTTTGAAAACTTGTAAGGCGTACATAATATTAGGTAGTGCACTTGCTTACGAACGTTTCTAGTTAGATAGCATGAGCTTAACCGCAATTAAATGGCGTTATTAGCAGATCTTGACCTAAAATCGAGCTATTTCACTGATATAAGCGCCATTTTGAGGTCGCCATTTTAAAATTTGTGCAAGGAGCACGTAACATTTGGTAGAGCACTTCCGTATCAATGTTTTGTGTTGAATAACACTAGCTCATACACCGTTAAATGTGGATTGCAACAGGTTTAAGCCAAAAATTTTGGTATTTCGTTGATATCGGCGCCATTTTGAAGTCGCCATTTTGAAAATTCAGAGGACACGCATGGAATTTGGTAACTCTCTACCAGACAAACATTTTTTGTTGCATAGCTAAATTTTCGTCATCATCGCTCCTTTTTCAGTAGCACTTCTTTCAGGAGGTCGCCAAAATTCGTGGATAGTAGCCGCCATATTGCAACCGCCATCTTGAAAATTAAAAAGCGCCACTCGGCTTTCGAAAGCGCTCATCTCAACGAATTTTTTAAGCCGTCGTGCGATTTTTTTGACCGATTCAATTTTTGTACTAGCGGGTGGCACGGTTGACGCGGATCGTTCCATATATATAAAATGATATGAATATAAAGAAATTATTCAATTTCTAACACCCTTAAAAGCGTATTGCACTGGATCCTTTGACAGGCAATGATTTATTACTTTGCATCGAATATGATCCTAGTAAATAAAGTATTGGCACATTCAATAAGATTGAATTGATTACGGAAACACTAAAATTACTTAATATTAACAATTAAATAGTGCTCATTTTACCTCTTTTAGTATTTTACAAACTATTTCTTAATTCTTAGAATCATGATGATAACGCTGACATTTGGTTCCTGAGTGTTTCACAGCTAGGGGTGTGGGCAGATTTATACATTTATTGTTGGTACGGAAACGAAGTTACTGAAAAGGTATGTATTTTATTTAACGCACATATATTTTTAAAGTTACAAGTACACATATTTAAAATACGTTGGTTTTTTTTCTGGTTGTTATGCTGTGGCATGTGTGCCTGATCACTATCAGTTACAGACTCAGGGCGGACCTACGGGTTCTAATAGCGGGTCCGCCCCCACAGAGCCCAGCTTGATATTAGTAAACNCACTTCTTTCAGGGGGTCGCCAAAATTCGTGGATAGTAGCCGCCATATTGCAACCGCCATCTTGAAAATTAAAAAGCGCCACTCGGCTTTCGAAAGCGCTCATCTCAACGAATTTTTTAAGCCGTCGTGCGATTTTTTTGACCGATTCAATTTTTGTACTAGCGGGTGGCACGGTTGACGCGGATCGTTCCATATATATAAAATGATATGAATATAAAGAAATTATTCAATTTCTAACACCCTTAAAAGCGTATTGCACTGGATCCTTTGACAGGCAATGATTTATTACTTTGCATCGAATATGATCCTAGTAAATAAAGTATTGGCACATTCAATAAGATTGAATTGATTACGGAAACACTAAAATTACTTAATATTAACAATTAAATATTGCTCATTTTACCTCTTTTAGTATTTTACAAACTATTTCTTAATTCTTAGAATCATGATGATAACGCTGACATTTGGTTCCTGAGTGTTTCACAGCTAGGGGTGTGGGCAGATTTATACATTTATTGTTGGTACGGAAACGAAGTTACTGAAAAGGTATGTATTTTATTTAACGCACATATATTTTTAAAGTTACAAGTACACATATTTAAAATACGTTGGTTTTTTTCTGGTTGTTATGCTGTGGCATGTGTGCCTGATCACTATCAGTTACAGAATCAGGGCGGACCTACGGGTTCTAATAGCGGGTCCGCCCCCACAGAGCCCAGCTTGAGAATAACAAGGGCAGGTCAAAGATTCCTGACTAGAGTTAAGGAAGTGAAATGTATTTTTGTAACTGGCAGATTCATAGGTCATGGTATAACAACTCGAAAAACCATCGTAGTTTAACTACTACCAACAGTCGTGAAGGCCTTATAAACACTATGAAGTATACGTATATTTCATTACAAATTAACTATAAACTTTCCAAAAATTTGTATTGAATGAAGTAAATACTGTTTTCTGATATGTTGAAATTGTTAATAAATATTTTCAAGAAGATTATCTTCTATTCTTGACCTACATAATAATAATAATAATA